GGCAGCCTTAGAGTCAAACCAAATTCAAACCCCATTTCCACCACTTACAAGCCATTGAATTAATTTCCTAAACAGTCTCCGAAGTCAGCAATAACAATTGTTTTCCTATTGCCTTTGAAGCAATTGAGAAAACTTTTGAATCATATGTATAATAATTTACCCTCAGTCTGGGTTTGGTAGCATTTGGTGTGTGTCAGAAATAAAACCCATTTCTCCCACTGCCCTTGGTAACTATGATTTCACACCCACAACAGGGAGTTTGAAAAAGAAGAGAGACGTGTTCCATACCATTATTCATTTCAGTAAGACCTGCCGCTACTGTTTGAAACTGGAGCCACAAAGTGTTTATTATTGCAATTTCAGTGAAGTTTATTGAATGAGGTTTTTCTGGAGTGTGATACTTTTGCCACATGGTAACACATTTTTTTAATAGAAGTTATAATCAACCCTAACAAATCCTGAGATAATGTTTAAAGGTTTATTATTTTATGTCTTGAACATTACCAGTTAATTTATGCAGACCACATGCTATTATAAATAGGGTAAATAATATCCACCCAACACCTGATTAATAAATTTAACATTACAGCACCAATTGTATTTACACTCATTCAGGGCCCCTACCTTATCACATCTACTTTCCAGACCACTCTCCTCTCCCCTCAAACATTCACTGTATTAAATTTTATATATATAGTCTATGTTTTTTATATTTATGGAAATGGAATCATATGGCATGTTTGTTTAATAAACTTATTTTTATTGCTTTAAAAATATATTTAACATATATACACATATGTATATATAGCTATAATGCATTCATTTTCACATCTGCAAGTATTTCATATGAAAATGCCAAAATTTACCTATTTTTCTGTCCATATATGTTAGTGTTCTTTCCAGTTTTCTCTATTACTAGCAACACTGGTATACACATTTCTATATGTTCCCTGGTACACATGTGGAGAAGGTCCCTGAGGCCCTGAGGCCAAGTAGGAGTAGGCTTGCAGATTCTTTGGATATGCAATTCCTCACATATACTAGGCCAAATTGTTTCCTAAAGTCTACAACAATTTACATTTCTACCAGTGGTGAATAAGATATTTAAAAATAAACAATTCTGTACTTTAAGAGTTGTATTTTACATTAGAACATTTCCAATCATTCTTTATAGATTTGGATTAAATAGATTAAAAGTCACAAAGCATTTTTTTTTTTTTAACTTAAACTCTCAAAAGGACATAAAACACTCATTCAGACAGACATCCCTTCCAGTGGGTATCAATGCCTATTGTTTCTCTTGTGTATGAAGACCTGTTAGTTTCCATCAGAGCAAGATAAGAGCTTGAAGTTTTCTAGATCAAAGTTATTTCACGGCAGGGTAGGTAAGCTGCAACCCTTGCACTGAATGGAGAAACTCATTTATTTCCCAAGAGTAAGTTACATGAAAAGTGAAGGCTTATGCTGCAGAAGTAAACATATTGAATGGTCCATCTGTGGGCATCATCACTGACGATGAGTTTACACAGCAAACGGTACCTCTGAAAGAAAACCTGCTCTCTCCAAAAAAAGTGGGTTAATTTTCAATGGAAGTTACCAACTCAATGACTAGTGGCAACACAGAGATGATCTTCAGATCACCTTTTGCATCTGGCCCTTACCCAGTTTTCCCAAATATTGGAGTATGGATGGACAATGGGTCCAGTGCTGGCTGATTCATACAGGAAGTGGGAGACATGCATTGAGCAAGACATCTGAGCTACAGACAAAGAGCTATCTCTGCTCCCAGAGCACCATGCAATAGCTATATTAACCTAGAAAGAGTCAGTTTTGTGTGGAAGGAAAAGTTTTCTAGGCTTGGGTCAGAGATGTATAACCATTATCTTGAACATCCACACATGTATAACAAGAAATTGAACATATCCATTCCTCAAATTGCTGCAAGGTTATTTTCATGATCATTTGTTAGTATCTCATTGTTTCCATCTCTATTTATTTGTCAATCCCAAAAGTAGAGTCAATGAGCACTATATTACTTTTGCATCTCATAGAGCAGCAACTATAGTTACACACAAATTGTTCAGGCCAACCTTCACATTTCCAAAACTACATTCTTGAACTCTGTCTAAAACTAAAGTTACTCAAGACTCCCTTTTCCCAGCATGGGGCAATGAAAAAAATTAACATTAACTGTGGACTGAGCTCTGAAGAACACAGGAGACCCCGTGGGTATACCTCTACATCTCTTGAAATAAAAATTAACATTACGATAGTCCCTTTAATTCCTAAGTCTTAAGGAGTACTCTCTTCCCCATCAGTAAATTAAAGTAATGGTAGCTATAAAAATATTTTTTAATTTATTAGTTTCATTTTTTTCAATAAGTAATACATTCATATAATTCAAAATTAATAAGCTTAAAGAAAATCTGAAGTGAAAAGTCTCTCACTTCTGCTTTAAGTAAGTCCTTCCTCCACCCCACAATTATTGGGTTACCATTAATTCTGTTAGAAATATGTTAACGGACAAATAAATAAATTAAATGTAAACTAGTCTTTTCTTCTTTTTCCATAAATGAAAACTCACACTTGTACGCACACTGTTTTATACCTTGATTTATTACATACTAAATAGATCTTGGAAAACTTCCTATCAATTACAAAGATTCTCCACCTCCTCTCTCTACCAGTTTTATCATATCCCATCTTATAGATTAAAAAAAAAGGGGGAAAGACAGAGATAAGAAGATAAAGGGGGGATAAATGGTGACAGGAGACTTGACTTGGGTGGTGAACACACAATGCATTATACAGATGATGTACTATAGAATGTACACCTGAAATGTTTATAATTTTATTAATCAATGTCAATGTCACCCCAATAAATTCAATAACTTAAAAAAAATTTTAAATAAAAATTCATTTAACTGGTTGTCAGATTATGGACATTTAGGCTGTTGGTTGTGTATTTCCTAACTTTTGGGTTTTTTTCCTAACAATATTGAAAAGAACATTTATAATTTTCAATGCATTGTATCTCTTTGACCCAGGATAAATTCCCAGTTGGAATTGCTGAATCAAAGGAGGGATTTATAAATTGTTAAATGACGACAAATTGACCTCCATAAAGAGTGCATCAAATTATACTATTCAAAGAATATATAGGGTTCTGGTATCAAATTTTGAAAATGTTTTACAAAATAATAAGTGAAAAACAATATCTCAGTCAAGTTTTAATTGAACTTTCTATTGTAATCAATTTTTTTTTGATTCTTATGTTTTAGAGCTTTTTTAAACTTATTTTTCTTAAAATTTTGTTTTCACATTCTTTGCCTTTATTTACAGGTGTTTTTGGTCTTTAAAAAATCTATATGCAGAATGCTCCATATGCAAGAAATTAATCCTTTGTATTAAAATCTGTAGATGTTTTCCAATTTTGTCAAATATCTTTTTGACTTAGATTATTTTAAAATTAAGATTGTTTTATGTTATGATGTCAAATTTCTCAATATTTCCTTTAATATCTTCAGAGATTTTGAATTGTAGTTAGAAAGTGCTAGTCATCCAAAAGTTAGTAAAAAATTCTTTTCTCTAGTAACACTATTTCTTTTATATATTTAAGTATTTTAGTCTTTGATTTATTTGAAATGCACTGTCTAAATTGGCATGCAGTATTTATTAAATGAGTATCTTTTTCCCCAATGATTTGAAATATCACCCCTAAGATATACAAAATATCCATATAAGACTTCAAATGTTGACATCCTTGTGACAACTTTTTTTAAACAGCAGCATGATATACATTTAAATTTATTATTTTTGTTCATTTGAACTAGATTTTTTTAATTCAAATTTTGCATGGTGCTCTTTAAATTCAAGTCTTTGCATAGACCTTTTATCCCTTGGAATTTGACCTTTCCTTGTCAATGGAGTCTTTTCCTCTATGCTATCTTCTGAGAGGCTGTTACTGAAATATGTGCCACCAACTGTTTTCATATATTAATTTTGTACTGTTACTTCTATAAACTACTATATATTCACACATTTTTTTAGTTTATTTTGCTTGATTTTTCTTAGTATAAAATTAGATCATATGAGAGAAATAAAGTTTTATCCACTTTTTACAGTTTATATGCCTCCAGTTTTTTATCTTCTCTAATTGCATTGTATACCACCCTCAGTACAATGGTAAGTAACAGACATGTTAATGGATATTTCTTAATTTCCTTAAAATGCTACAGAGCGAATAAGCATAATTTATGTTAATAAGACAAATCCCTATGTTATTATTTATTTTATCATTGTTAATTTCACATCTGTTGAACAGATATATTTTATTAAATACTCCTATAGAGGATTGTTATAAGCTTTTGTTAGATACATTAACATGATGAATTATATTATCCATAATCATGATGCATTATTTTAATATTCTGCTGGATTTTAGTTACTAAAATTAATACTTAATATTAATAATTGAGGTTGGTCTTAAATTTGTTTGTAAGATTAGGAATTCAACCAACCCAACCAACCGAGCCACACCAGCCAGGGCAAACTTCTACATTTTAACCAGACTGATTATTCCACCCTCCTATTCAGTGTTGTGATGTCTTTCTAAAGCCCAGGTAGTTTTTGCTATGTTCCTGGAAAGCACAGACTATCAAAAGATTTAGCCAGGACAAATACAAGCTTTAATTATTTGTTTCTTTGGAAAGCTCTCTTACCCCTTTTAGAAGACAAATGGAGTTTCTTTTATCAAGGGTCTTGGCTGCAATGCACTCTGTATTGCATCTGTCTGATAGAGTTAGGCTTAACATCCCCTCCGTATGATACAATCCTTCAAGCACATCCCATTTCTGCATATATGGCCTTGGTTTAGTCTTTCAATTAATCATTCTTCCTTTCTTGTGTTCCCTTTTTTCTGGGAAAGATTTCAATATGTCACAACAGAACATTATCTCCCATTACATTTGCAGCATGAAAAAAGGAAAACAAATACTGACCGTATAGAAGTAGGAACAAAGACATACCAAGCACTCAGTCCCTTCCCTGCCTGCAGTCTGTAAATGGCACAAGTTTTGTTCTCTGGAATTTGTAACTAAAGGACAGAACAGATGGTAAAGGCTTATTTAAAATAAGAGGAGAAACTATTCAGTTAAAAGAATTGCACTGCTAAGATGCAATTTATTCGGGGGGGGGCAGGCATGTGTTCAAAGAAGCTTGGTCTTATCTAGAGTGAGATAATATACTACAAATTGATATAATTCATATAAGTGAATTGCTATTAAGAAAGCCACATTGATAGCCTGCATTCACCTTATATCACCCTAAAATGTTAAGCAAAGCATTTTAAACTCAACTATTGTCTTTGGTTTTTAAGAAACAATCCATTTAAGAACCTGCCAACTGGACATTAATTATTGAATTTATGTTTGAAAGAAAAAAACAATCTGATTTCATTTGACATCTGCAAGGATAAGATATTGAACTTGCTATTCCTCAGTGGGAAAAGAAGGAAAAAATCCCTGACAGGAAGTGAAGTGTTTTGGGAAACAGATTAAGTTTCTTAGGCCATTATGTACTGTATGGCTGTTTCTTAATTTTCTGTGGCACATGCATTCCTCTGACATTCCTACTCTGAAAATTGGATTAAACTGATGAAACACACCTCTGCTATTAAACAGCTCTACAATTGATAGAAATAAAGAAACTGAGATTCCAAAGTATTTCTGTTGTTGGATATCTCTAGGCCAGGGCTCACAAACTCAAACAGCTATTAGAGTAAAGGTGGGTATGAACAAAAGATACATATTTCATACTAAATACTTTGTTGTCGAAGTAAATAAGAATAATGTTTATTTCCACAAGGAAATAGTCTCCCCTATTTTTTGGAAATGTTAGCTCTTCTAGATTTATTTTTTCATCTGCATACCTTTGTTAGAGACAGAGAAACAGAGAAATAGTTACTTACTCTAAGAAAAACAACTTTGGTGACATAGTTCACATTCAGCTTCTCTATCACTGAGACAATAAATTGATAGGTACTCTGTTGAACTGAGCAACTGCAACTCAGCTCCAGCTGGGTGCTGGCCCGACATTTCCAAACCTTCTGGTCACTTTCCCCCCAAATGAAGGAAATCATCTTTACTGGGAAGGTCTTGATTTTTTTTAATGTTGGCCTAATTTAATTTTTTAAAAAAATAAAAACTACATAAAAGAAAGCAACCCAGGCTAACCACTATTCATCTTCAGACTGGACTGGGCAATAGGCAAAGGGTTCCCAGATATTACGGTATTTATTTAAGTGAATCTTTAAAATTACACTACCTGAAAAAACTAGCAAATAGGAGTTTGATTCTATGGAAATAAAAAACTAGAAAATGCAGAACTGAATTCAGTTCAGTCAGACTATATACAAGTATCCAAACTATGAACAGACTTTGTGTTAAGCACTTTCCAGGTGTTACCCACGCTCCCTTGTATATTTATAATGGACAAACAAAATAAAAATGATTAGTATACCAAGTCTTCCTTATTTTTCTCTATGGCTCCGGATCAACTTGCCTTAGCTGTCTTTAGAGTTTTTCTAGTGTGGTGTGATATGATTAGGAAGAATTATTACATCAAATTATTTCACATAAATTATTTCAAACTATTTGCATTAAATATTTATATGTTTATTATGCAGGTTTTGAGAGTTTTTCTTAAATGCAGTTTTCAGCTATTAAAGAATTGAGAATTGACTGACTACTGGGTAATAACTACTCAGGTGTCTATAGATACAGTATTACCTTTCTGTATCATCTGTAAAATGGACATAATATTAGTACTAATCTCATTGGGTTGTATTAAGTTATATAATATATAAAGCCTTTAGATCATGGTATGACATAGAAAGCATTCAAACAACCTTAGTTATCAATATAAATTTTAAATATTGCTAATTAATAACTATGTTCTGGTAGATAAGATATGAATAAGAATTTCCAGTACATAGGACCTAATTGTTCTCGCTAACTCCCATTAAAGAAACCCACAGAAGTATGCGTTGACTCTCTAAAAGCCTAAACTCAACAACTAAAATGACATTTACAAAGAGCAAGTAATAGATTATATTTAAGCAATGTTCTAGTATAAAAACCAATCTGAAAGCTGTAAGGATGAAACCAAAAGCAATTAAATGCTCATCATTAAACAAAAAACAACAAAATTAGGAATAGTAATATCTGAGTCACAGGTGTAAACCAAGGAGGTCATGAATTGGTCCTTGGAATTGAGACAGAAAAGAATAAAACAGGAAGAAATGCTATCAGGCTAAATAATTTAAAGCACTAGCATCCTAATGGCATGAATTACTTCTAAAAGAGTTACTTTCATTGTCAATGCAGTTGTCCATGCAGGAATAATGACTAATAGGGAAGTTATTAATATCTTTTAGGTAGGAAGTTAAGTTACTAATCCAAAAAAAAAAAAAAAATTGAGGAAATTACATAATTTGTCAAAGTGACAAGGCTACAAAAATGTAAGAGTAAGAAATCAAATGTGGACCTCTCACACTCAAGAAATCATGTTCTTTTACTGCTGCCTTTCCATGTAGGGACTAAGAGGTTTTTCACTTAATAATCAGCAAGAAGCAATTGTTTGAACAAACAGATGTGTAGGTTGAGAAGGAGAATTTTCACACAAGCACAGTGTATTAATTTACCAACTGGTAAGGGATATTAGCCACTTGTTCACAGGCACTATCCAGTTGCTGGGATTATTTGTAACGTATTTAAGGTCAAATATGGAGCAGGGAATACAACAAATGGTTTTCTATCTCAGTTGTATGCTGGAATCTTAAGGTCCATGGAGAAATATTTTAAACAGCCAAAGCATCTCAAAAGTACATAATCAGTTACATTATTCTTTGACAATAAAGAATGAAATAGCTTTCATTAGCCTGGTTATATTCAGGCTAATAATGACAGCCACTGAAAGAATGCGCAAGTCTATTTCATTCAGTCGTCTACACTGACAACAAAGAAATGTGTAAATAAAAATATCTATTACATGGATTAAATATTTTCTTCCATTAGTAACTAAAATGTACTAACAGTTTTGCAAACTCTGCAAATTACATTGAGAATTGTTGAGTCCATTTCACTGTTGTATTTTCTGTGCTTGTCACAGATGAACATTTCAAAGCCTTTCCTAGTGATTCATTATTAATATATATTCTTAAAGCATTCTCCTCTCCAAATAGGTCCTCACAATTCACCCTTAAGTGCCACATGAACAACTCAGTAAGCTATGTGGCTCGAGTCCTTTGAAGTCGATGCTCTAACGGAACTGAATTGTATTACATTGACCGTGCAAAAAGCATGTCCTAACCTCTAAATATTTTCTCCAACAAGACTCTTACAAATGAGTGCATCCTACTAAGAGCCAAAAAATAACTTTTCAAGTGTAACCATTAATCTGCTGGAAGTGTTCACTTCAGACCTACTATAGAACTACTATTTCAACCTATGAGTAGACATTACAGGAGAATGCCCCCATTCTGACTTTTAGCAACTTGATGAATTAACTTTATGGGAGGCATCCTCAGTGATCATCAAACTGAATAAACAAATCATTCTTGAATTAACAAATAAATCAACAAATATTGTGTTATATAGGGTACAACTATGAGATATCTGGTCCTCACCTTTAACAGCCTCACATCAAAGAAAAAAATTCAATGCAATAAATGCCAAAAGATCATATGGTATTTGTCTTTCTCTGACTGGCTTATTTCACTTAGCATAATAATCTCCAGGTTTATCCACGCTGTCACAAAGGGTAAGATTTCCTTCTTTTTATGGCTGCATAGTATTCCTTTGTGTAAATGTACCACAGCATTTTTATCAACTCGTACCATATGATCTCACTTATATATGGAAAATAATAAACAAAATAAACTGATGAGCAAAACAGAAACAGAGGCATGGATACATGGAACAGACCGACAGCTGTCAGAGGGGAGGGGGAGGGGGGATTTGATGAAAGAAGATGAGGGATTTGCTAAAGAACATATACTCATAACCCATAGACACAGACAACAGTGTAGTGATGGCCAGAGGGAAGAGGGGGCAGAGGCTGGGTGGAGATGTGCAAAGGGGGATGTGAGGACATCTGCAATAGTATCAATAATAAAAATAAAGTTTAAAAAAGAAATGTTGCTCATTAGTTTTCTTTTTCTATATTGTAGTATTTATTTTTTTCTTGACATGATTGTATAAGAAAAGTTCAATAAAAGGAAGTTTTTACTGGAAAAAAAAAAGCCAAAAAAAATCTTTCTAGTGAGGCAGGAAAGCTTAAAAATCTTATGGCACACATTTATTTTGGTTGTTCTAAATCCAGTTACCTTTAGGTAAGAATATTTCACTTTTCTTTGTGTTTGTCCCTGTGTTGGCTGGATGCATGATGTCCTGTCCTCAACAACAAAAAGACAAACAATCCAATTAAAATATGTGCAAAGAATTTAAAAAGAGACATTTCCCAAAGACACAGAAACGGCCAACAAACATATGATAAGATACTTAACATCATTAGTCATAGGGAAGACATGCAAATCAAAATCATGAGATACTACTTCACACCTTAAAAAAAACAACAAAAACATAGAAAATAACAAGTCTTGGCAAGGATGTAGATAAACTAGAAGCACTGTAATATTGCTGATGGGAATGTAAAATGTATATTGCTGATAGGAATGTAAAATGTTTCAAAGCTATTGTGGAAACCGATTTGGTAACTCCTCAAAAAGTTAAACATAGATTTACCATAGGACAATATAATCCCACTCCTAAATATGTAACTGTAAGATTTGAAAACAGAACTCAAAGAAATATTTTACATGGATTTTCATAGCACTGCTATTCACAATAGCTAAAGATGGAAACAATCCAAGTGTCCATCAACAGCTGTACATATAAACTATAGTATATGCATGCAATGGAATATTATTCCTTAAAATTATTTCATACTGGAATATCATTTCATAAAAAGGAATGAGGCACTGATACATACTGTAACGTCTCTAT